TTTACCCAGCAGAAAATGTGTACCCGGTTGGATAAAGTCATGTGACTTTAACCTTCTAGTGCCTAACAGGCAGCTTGGGTTATCCGTGGTAATAATAATCAGGTTCTGATTATAGCGGCCAGTGAGGAACTAGTCAGAGGGATACTAGGCGCTATGTAAATAACTTATTATTGTTATGCCCCGCCGCGCGTTTAGCGCGAAGCGGGGGATATAGTGTTAGGCTCCGTCCGTCCGACCGTCCGTACGAATTGGAATATCTTAAGAACCGTTTACTAGATTCTTTTCATATTTGGTACCTAGGTTCAACACAGTATACGAAAGGTCCCAGTAAGGTTTGGTGACCTCGACCTTCATTTCAAGGTCACAAGGAGACTTTAACGTTTTACCCTTGTCAGCAAGATATCTCAAGAACCGGTTTCTGGATTTCCTTCATATTCAACATCAGGCTTCATCCAGGCGGAGGGCCCAGTCGATTTTGGTGACCTTTACACAATTTTCAAGGTCCCGGCGACTCCCTGAAGATTTCAGCATGTTAAACTGCATGTAAAGATTGTCAGCAAGATATCTCAAGAACCATTAACTGGACTGTCTTCATATTTGACACCAAGCTTCACCTAGGGAAGGTTCAAGGTCCAGTCGATTTTGGTGACCTTCACATAATGTTCAAAGTCACTGCGACACTTTGAAGATTTCAGCATGTTAAACTTCATGTTAAGGCGATAGTGAGCCTTGAAAATATTTGTGCGTTTGAACAACTACAGAGCCAGATATCAAGAGTGGTTGACTGATCATGTTTTTGTTGATATTTAACTTCATCTTAAATTACTTTTTAAGTTTGATTTGATAATTTGCGGCGGGGGATTATGTCAACTTAGTGACAATGCTTGTTATTATTATCGTTTCAGTGCTAAGATCACTCTTTTGAACAAGGCCATGACGGAAAGGTGTTGTCACGAAACTACAACTGATTTAAATTCTTATTCACAATTCTACAAATTACACCAAAGCCACCCAAATTACATCCGAGTAGAACAATCCATGATGAACAATGAATGCAAGAATATCTTATATAGTGAAACCTCGTTCATCCAGAGAATGGCATCTTGATTAAACCGTTGTTAGATAATGATAGGCATGAAGTAACACCCGTTGTACACATGATCCAGTTAAAGTCACCTCCGACGACAAATATACGGTTGGGTAGCATAGTGGTTAAAGTGTTCGCTCGTCATGCCCGAAGACCCGGGTTCAATTCCTCACACGGGTACAATGTGTGAAGCCCATTTCTGGTATCCCCCGCCGTGATGTTGCTGGGATATTGCTGAAAGCGGCGTAAAAGCCAACTCACTCACCCACAAACTCACGCATGAGCAGCTGGAGACCAAATCTACCCAGTATGTACACGAGCTCCCCTTTGTATTATTATACCAAGGAATAGTCGAGAAACTTGTTGCTGAAATTCTTATTCGTCGCAGACTCTATTTGTGGCTTTGCCGAATGTAACAAAAAAATGTAAGACTCCACTTGCTCAAGCATTTATTTACCATAAACAGGTAGTGCAAAATAGCAAATATAGAATAAAAATAATTTGATGATTGGCACATTCAATGTTTAACGACTAGTAGAATACGTATGGAAACGAAAATAAAGCATACCACAATTCTCCTTGTCATGCTCTATTGAGTGATTGTAGTATACATGTAAGCATTAATTAAACATCATCTGATTCAAAATCACATTAAACAATACTGGCAAACCCCGATCTGAAGCAGATGGACACCTTTGCGATTGTCCTGGTGACAAGTGAGAGATAGAAACCCTCCTTTTCAAAACCTGACTTACGTGACCCATTGTGACGATGTACAAAGTGATCTAAGCGCTAAGGTCATCGTAACTCCCACATCAGCTCGTAGACTTACGACAGTCAAATGTAAAGTGATCGGAACTCCCATACGTTAACATAGACTTACGAAAATCTAAGCTCTAAGGTGATCGTAACTCCCACACCTTAACATTGACGTACGACAGTCTTAGAGCTAAGGTGATCGTAGCTCCCATACCTTAACAGACTTACAACAGTGAAATGTAAGATAATCGGTCCCACACCTTAACATAGACTTACGACAATCTCAGCGCAAAGGCTATCGTAACTTCCCTACCTGAACATAGACTTTCGACAGTCTCAGCGCTAAGGTGATCGTAACTCCTACGCCTTAACATAGACGTACGACAATCTCAGCGCTAAGGCGATCGTAACTTTTTATCCCTTACATAGACTTACGACAGTCTTAGTGCTAAGGTGCTTGAACTGCCACACCTTAATGTAGACTTACGACAATGTCAGCGCCAAAGGGATCGTAACTCACATAACAACATAGACTTACACCGATTGTACCTCTGAGATTGCCTTGTACAACGGTTCCCAGGGTTTACACTGCATGTAAAAAATCTACTTGGAGGTGATAGCTGAGTGATTTTCAGCGTTGTTGAAATGACCACAAGGCAAATACCTCGGCACCTATTGCTAGTGTCAGCTTCACATCGTGTGTGATAGTAGTGCTATACTTTATGTTGGTCAGCTCACTATTCTCGGGTCGGGTTTCCACGAATGAATCACACCAGTTATTCTTCAATGCGAAATTTCGAAAAAGTTCGAGATGCTTCAATAACGCCCACGTGTATATGTATATCCATACACACAGGTAACATCACAAACTTCCATGCATAATACTGTTCACTTTTGATTGTTTATACATCCATGACTTTGAGACTGGCACGGCTACCCAGTCTGAAAAGCAGTCTTGCTGTCCTTGCAAAGACTCAGTCGTGAATTATATGTACACATATTCTTTTTTATGTATTAAAAAGTAACTGAAGATCAAACACAAAACATATACACCTTACGAATACCTTTTTCGTAAAACTGAAATACGATTGTCTCTATCGTATGCATGACCATAAACAATAATCTTAGTGAATACTAAGATCTGTTTTTAATAAAATTGTTTTGAACAAATAGGGAATGTAATGATAAGAAAAAATAAAAAAGATTAAGGTATGTGACTTATAGATTAAATATGTAAAGATCTATATACAAGTAATCCTGAAATTCCTCTGAAAGCAGCGAAGTCAACGGAACAAATCTACCTCACGACACACTGGCTTTACATCCAGGAAGAACAACTGGATTGTCTGGTCCAGACTCGATTATTTACAGAACGCCGCCATATAGCTGGAACATTGCTGAGTGCGGCGTAAAGCTAAACTCACTAAGCTATTCAAAAGAATACCCATCGAGTCTCACATGTATAACAAAACACAAAAATAACGAAATGATGTAATGCTGTTTGCAGTAAAACGATATCAAAACACATATTAACATATTTGAACAACTCAGATGAAAGGAAACAACTCTCTGACTCATGACCAACCAATACGTCATGCCTATTCAAATACCAAGATGCCAAGCCTCTATGAACAGCAAGATGCCTAGCCTTTTATGAACAAGATGCCTAGCCTTTTTATGAACAACAAGATGCCTAGCTTATATGAACAGTAGGATGCCAAACGTTATATGAACTCCAAAATCCTAATGCTTTATAAACACAACCTGCCTAGCCTCTATAAAGACTAGATGCTTACGTTATAAGAACAATAAGATGTCAAGCGTTATATGATTGACAAAATACTCTCACAACATTTGGGTAATTCGACAAAAAAAGGAGGTAGATTCACCACTATATATGTATGAGGGCAGATAAGCTTAATGCTTCAAAACCATGTAATTTCGTACAAACATGGTAATGTCAACTGATATTTATAGGCTTTAAGTAAGATTGGTCGCCTTTCAAAGTGAATCATAAAGCAATTATTTCTCTCCCTAAAGCCAGGGCACAACCTTGGTAATGCAAATATCAATGGAAAGCAAGAAAAACCAAGAGATCACACAGAGCAATATGAAATAAGGTTTTTATATTAGGGTGAGCACACACGCGCGCACGAACGCACGCGCGCACAAACACGCACATACACACACACACACACACACAGACGTACACTCTCGATGTGGTATCCCCTCAGTAGTAAACACTAGTTTGATACGGATTATGAAAATGTAAATGTAGGCTTCTAAAAGTACATACAGTTAGGGAATATATGCTTACATTTTTCCTTAGTTATAAACACTTGTAATATACGTAATTTGCAGATAACCGTGGATCATTATATAGAATGTTACAGTCGCTCGCCCGCCCGCACACTCCTCACTCACTCACTCACTCACTCACTTGCCTGGCGCTCGGCATTAATGGGTACAACAAGGACTAGTCGGCTCGGAGTCAGTATAATGTGTCTGAGTGGAGTATTCATGCTTCACTGCGGCATGGTATCTCAGTGAGCTAGCACTATAAACCAGCTTCAGTCTGGGCTAGTACAAGCAGCCGCACATACACATACACACGCATGCACGTCGTCATATCAGCGAAATATTCTCAAGCACGACAATAAACCCAATTTCACCTCACCTCACTCATTCACTCACTCACTCACTCACTCACTCAATGTAACCTCGAGATTCTCCTGTACTTCCATTCAAACTTCCAGATCCTGTTTGGTAGCTAGGGATTGTCAAGGTTTGTTCATCATCATTCCCAGAAGCACTGCCTTCTCTCCCTCTCGTCCTGCTGCTCAACCTCCCAGATCTTGTCCGGCAGCTAAAGATTGTCAAGGTTTGTTCATCATCATTCCCAGAAGCACTGCCTTCTCTCCCCCTCGTCCTGCTGCTCCTCAACCTCCCAGATCTTGTCCGGCAGCTAGGGATTGTCAAGGTTTGTTCATCATCATTCCCAGAAGCACTGCCTTCTCTCCCCTCGTCCTGCTGCTCAACCTCCCAGATCTTGTCCGGCAGCTAGAGATTGTCAAGGTTTGTTCATCATCATTCCCAGAAGCACTGCCTTCTCTCCCCCTCGTCCTGCTGCTCCTCAACCTCCCAGATCTTGTCCGGCAGCTAGGGATTGTCAAGGTTTGTTCATCATCATTCCCAGAAGCACTGCCTTCTCTCCTCCTCCTCCTGCTCCTCAACCTCCCAGATCTTGTCCGGCAGCTGCGGCCCGGGGGTGAGGGCGAAGTCTATCTCCTCATATACCACGGGCTCCTCCCTTCTGTGTATGATGGGGTTGCCGTCGATAAAGGTTGGCGGATCAAGGGCAAGGTCGGCGTAGGTCAGACCGTCATCATTCTGAAAGTTAAACACAACTGCACTTACAACTGTCTGACATTTCTTCCAGGGGAATTTAACCTGATACATGTACTGAACCAACCAGTTCTCTACAGTAGATTATGCTGTCTCTTTGAGTGAGTTACAATATATTTTCTTTCAGGGGAATTTCACCTGATACATTTACTGAACCAACCAGTTCTCTACAGTAGATTATGCTGTCTCTTTGAGTGAGTTACAATATATTTTCTTTGAGGGGAATTTCACCTGATACATTTACTGAACCAACCAATTCTCTACAGTAGATTATGCTATCTCTTTGAGTGCAGTGAGTTACAATATATTATCTTTCAGGGGAATTTCACCTGATACATTTACTGAACCAACCAGTTCTCTACAGTAGATTATACTATCTCTTTGAGTGCAGTGAGTTACAATATATTATCTTTCAGGGGAATTTCACCTGATACATTTACTGAACCAACCAGTTCTCTACAGTAGATTATACTATCTCTTTGAGTGAGTTACAATTTCGCGTCGGCATTGTGTCAGCCAATCAGAGACGTTTCTTCCCTGGAACGTGGCAGGATATTGACAAAAAGCCTACCGTTTCTCCACAGTTGTTGTATTCGGCTGCAACTGGTCCCGCATAGTCGATTAGAACTGCATTTTCAGACTGGAAATAACAAACACATGTACGTTCTAATGGCAATGTACTAAACACACATCTAATTCTTCAATCATGCTCAAGTTCTTGAAAGGACTTTTTTTTATAATGTTAATGCTCATTTAATTCTTGATTTTTATGAAGAATTAAACGTAACTGAATTACTTAAATGAATATTAAAAGAATGTAATAACATTATCAACAGAAATTATTGATGGAAGTAATGTGAAAGTATTGTCCTACTAGTTGTACGTAAGTCTGTTCTTGATAAAAATAACATTGACTAGTGTTTTAGAACTTCGACATTGGCCTCGTCTTGCTACCTGCGAGTTTCTTTATTCTTCTCTTTAACCTACAGCCAATGTTGACCAAAGTGATGGCATAAATCTTGCTGGGGAATCGTGCAGAAAACAAAGATGTTGTGATGTTGTTTGACTGTCCTGTGTTGACAGATGTTTTAAAATATTTTAAGCTTATTTTAGAAATAGAATCAATTTGAACGTTTATCTGCTTGCTTTACGCCACACTCAGCAGTAGACGTCAGTGAATGATGACTAGGGATGAGAAAAAATCAGGTGGTCGACGTCATTAGCACCGATATTCACAATTCTGATACGATGTTATATGTGTCAAACAAGTCTGACCACCCAATCCCGTTAGTCGCCACTAACAACAAGCACAGGCTACTGATGGCCATTTCTTATGGAACCAAATCCCTTAGTATCATTGGTGCAATGTGACAGTTTAATTCATGCATTCGTTACTCCACGTTGCCTGCCTCCACCCCTTATCTCGTAACTACGTCTTTACGAGACACTGACTAAATGGCAATAGATTAGCCTCCTTTCAAAAACTATTTTTTAAGGAAAACAGTTCCATAACTTACCGATGGTCCTGCACCTGCATAAGCCCTGTTCATGAACCGTTTGCACTGAACCTTCTGGACCGTGGCATAACCATCAGACACTGTAGAAGGGGGAACAAGGAGTATAGATTATTAAAGAGTTGTGTAAGATTGGTACGGCAGCCTTTTGGGTCATTCGTTTCTTTCTGGTTTTTTTTCATGAAATATCAACTTATTATCTTGAAATTCAACATCGTAACTTATCATTTCAACATATCATTTTGAAATTTAAAGAAAAACAAAACAAAAAGGAATGGAACATATGTTATATTTGGGATTACACTTTTCTTAATAAAGTATAGATTCTAGTACTTTTGTTGGGTTGAGCCCCATCCGGGATTCGGGCCCACACTCTCAGAGTCAGGCAGCTAATCGCCGGCACACAAATATAGCATACATGTATGTCACATTTGACTACTTCTAAATGGTATTGTGTAATCATCAAAACGAATGGCCCTAAAAAGCTTCCGTAGGAATAGAGATTGCTTCTTGACAAAAAGCTGTCAAACTATCAGTAATCTGGGTTAACAAAGACACCTAATAATAAGGTGTCAAATACGTGTTCTAACACTGATGGTCCCGATCCTTTGAACGTTAGGAGGTCATGTGTCTTACGGGAGGCAAAATATTTACAGAAAAAACAGCGAGTGACTGTGCGAGTTGTGTCAGCGTTATGTGACACTAATTACAGCTTTTAGGTTTTGAACACTTCCGGTCTCATGCTGACAAAGAAACATAGGAAACACTTCCGCCCGTATCCACCCCCACCCCCACCCCCACCCTTAAATTTCATTCTAAATAGCCAAATCATATCACCTGAATAATATTCGTCATCTGATAAGAATGAGTTTTAATATGTTTCATTAATTATATCTACATACTGATAGATATATCCAACATCTATAAATGTCACTCAAGAAATATCTCTCATCGTTAAAATTTAGGGGGGATACGGGCGGAAGTCTTACCGCATAGGGAATTGAATGCTCTAGATGATACGTTCACCCGCGCATTGTCAAAAAGACAAACGGACACGCCTAAGGGTAAACAGTCCTGGGCGTAGGAAGACTTAAAGGGGCGTAGTTGACGTCATGTACAGCATCACTTCAAGTGAGTGAGTCTAGTTTACACCCCGTTAGCAATATTCCAGCAATATCACGGCGGGGACACCAGAAATGGGCTTTACACATTGTGCCTATGTGGAAATTCGAACCCGGGCCTTCGGCGTGACGAGCGAACGCTTTAACCACTGGGCTAACCCACCGCTCCTTGCCATATATGAAATGCAACACAAGAACCTTGTTATTACTCGGGTCATGTGTGGGTGGTTAAATATAGCGGCTTTTCAGCTGTCTTGTCTGAATACCTTGCTTGTTTGCGAGCGCGTGTTTTTCCAAACAGATAGTTCAAGGCCAGGTGATGTATGCTATGTGTTAATCTTGTTTCTAATATTGGAACATAATTCATCTTCCTTGAACACTGGTCCTATTTTCCGGGCAAACCGGAAGCTAAAAGAGTCCATGAATGATTTTCAAATGACCAAGTTGATTAGAAACAAACGTCTTCAAGTACAAGGAATCTGAAACAAATACAAGGACGTGGCGTGTGGGTGTGTGGGTGTGGGTGTGGGTGTGGGTGTGGGTGTGGGTGTGGGGGTGGGAGTATTTGTGGGATGGGTTTGCTGCACACATCTAAACAATTTGATCTTGAGTAATGATGAACAAAAGTTTTACATTATACCTGTGACCATAACGTATTAATTTTGAAGAACACCTTCCCCTGTTTGTTACTGTGCCTCTTTGTGTACATTTTCGTTCATGTCATCTACCGATACATTGTTTAATATTATATTACATATTACATTCTTTATGCTATATGCGACTTTTGAACGTGTCATTATTACTAGACATATCCTATCCTGATGTCATAAGCACCAATATTTAATTATTCGTTTGTTTCTTGTGACATGTTGCACTTAGCAAATCGAATCCGGGATAACGGGGGCGGTGGGGCAGCTAGTGGTTAAAGCGGGTTCGATTCCCCACATGGGTACAATGTGTTAAGCCCATTTCTGGTCTCCCCCACTATGCTATTGCTAGAATATTCCTAAAAGCGGCGTAAAACTAAACTCACTCGCTCACTCACTTCAGCATGACGAAACAAACTCTTTACCCACTGGGACACCTCCGAACTGTGGGGAATGTATAGTACACACAAGCCAGTTGATGGATTACGAACAGGTCTGTTCATGGCATGCGCCGACACCCTTTGCAAAATACTTACCACTGGGATCTTGTTGAAATTGTGCTTCGTTGTCAGCCATACTGCGGTCACCAGCCCTGAAAGAGACAACTCTGAAGTGAAGCAAAGGATTAAGCAACCATATCATAACGCGGCATACATCAGATTGCAAAGATAAAACTGTAAAAAGTCAGCCTTCAATTAGTTAGCTGCCAGTGCTGATTAACTACCCCAGCCTAGCTGGTAACAATTACTTCTCTGAATCTCGAATTTGTAATGCTCACCTTGAAAGTGCAAACGACGATGCTAATCCTGTATCATTTTCTTTTCGATACCTCAACTAATGGGGTAACTCTGTACCTAAACTTGTAGGAGTAACCCTGTTCCTTAACTTGTAGAAGTTACCCTGTACCTTAACTTGTAGGAGTACCCTGTACCTTAACTTGTAGAAGTACCCTGTACCTTAACTTGTAGGAGTACCCTGTACCTTAACTTGTAGGAGTACCCTGTACCTTAACTTGTAGGAGTAACCCTGTACCTTAACTTGTAGGAGTAACCCTGTACCTTAACTTGTAGGAGTAACCCTGTTCCTTAACTTGTAGGAGTAACCCTGTACCTTAACTTGTAGGAGTAACCCTGTTCCTTAACTTGTAGGAGTAACCCTGTTCCTTAACTTGTAGAAGTTACCCTGTTCCTTAACTTGTAGGAGTAACCCTGTTCCTTAACTTGTAGGAGTAACCCTGTACCTTAACTTGTAGGAGTAACCCTGTTCCTTAACTTGTAGGAGTAACCCTGTTCCTTAACTTGTAGAAGTTACCCTGTACCTTAACTTGTAGAAGTTACCCTGTACCTTAACTTGTAGGAGTTACCCTGTACCTTAACTTGTAGGAGTAACCCTGTACCTCAACTTATGGGGTAACTGTGTACCTTAACTTGTAGGAGTTACCCTGTACCTTAACTTGTAGGAGTAACCCTGTACCTCAACTTATGGGGTAACTGTGTACCTTAACTTGTAGGAGTTACCCTGTACCTTAACTTGTAGGAGTAACCCTGTACCTCAACTTATGGGGTAACTGTGTACCTTAACTTGTAGGAGTAACCCTGTACCTTAACTTGTAGGAGTAACCCTGTACCTCAACTTATGGGGTAACTGTGTACCTTAACTTGTAGGAGTTACCCTGTACCTTAACTTGTAGGAGTAACCCTGTACCTCAACTTATGGGGTAACTGTGTACCTTAACTTGTAGGAGTTACCCTGTACCTTAACTTGTAGGTGTAACCCTGTACCTTTACTTGTAGGAGTTACCCTGTACCTTAACTTGTAAGGGTAACCCAATACCTTAACGTGTAGGGGTATCCATATAACTTAGCTTTTAGGGGTACCCCTGTACCTTATATTGTAGAGATAATTCCGTCCCTTGTAGAGGTAACCCTATACCTTTACGTGTAGGAGTAACGCAGTATCTTACATTGTAAGGGTAACCATGTACCTTAAATTGCAGACTGACGCGTGAAAATTATATAACGCTGTGTTCTTCTCACTGTTCTTGAAATGACCTGGAGCATCGGGGTAGCCCAGCGGTTAAAGCGCCCTTTCGTCACGCTGAATACCCAGCATGGGAACAAGTACTCATACCAAACCAGTATTAAGAAAGTATTCAGCTGTAGCTGATGTAATTGTAGTAAAGTGAGTGAGTGAGTTTAGTTTTACACCGCTCTCAGCAATATTCCAGCTATGCTGTAAAGGATTAACGAGATGCTTGACAGGAAATACGTCCGAGATAGCAGCACAACTCGTATTCTATTCTATCACTACAAATACACTTCCTTTCTTGATCCTGTTTCTGTGGACAACGACGACGACGATGACGAAAGCGATGACGACAATGAGGACAGAACAGACGGCAGCCACAGGTACGATGGAAAGTACTGCTGCTCGCTGCCAACGTTGCTTAATTTTAATTGATATGTGACCTGGGCTCTGTGCACAGGAATACACACCGCGACATGCAGGCCTTAAAGGTCACCAAAAGCTTCCAAAAGGCAATAGTAGTGGTATAAACATGTACTTCCGCAGTGTAGGTTTTAGATCACAGAGAGAGAAGAAGAGACGATTGCGTCGTCTTGCTTGGCATATATCTTCAATGCTTTGACTGGACAAAGAGAAAGATCTTCAATACAAGACCCGATGAAATCCCATCTGAAACCCAGGAAGCCCTTGGCATGTTTCTTCCGTCCAAACCTTACTTGCTTGACACTAGTTTTTGGCACGTGTATCTAAGATGCGGGCCGAGGTACTGAGCATTGCAAGGAAGACTGGCTTAGTCATTCGCTCAAAGTCTATGCTTCGAGTATTTTTTCGCTATTTCAGATATGTTTTCGTTACTTCGATTATTTTCTCATTTGCTTCGATTAATTTCTCGTTACTTCGAGTATTTTTATAGCTTCAAGTTTCTTTAAAAAATATCCAGTTTTGAATGGTGGCTGATTCGGGATATTGCCATATTGCCTTTACAAATACAAATAAAAAATAGGCGGGTTCGATTCCCCACATTGGCATAATGTGTGAAGCCAATTTCTAGAGTCCTCCGCCGCAGTTGTGCTGGAATGTAGCTTAAGGCGGCGTAAATCCCAACTCACTTTCAACCTAAATCACATTTCCACTTTATGACCACCCATGAACGTTAGCATAATATGTTTTCCTGAATGGAACACTGTTTTGTTTTCAAATGCGAAAGTAGCTGGACCTAGAAATTATGATACGGTTCCAATTATTCTATTTTGGCGTATAACATATAAGACATAAGAGGCTAACTGAAATTCATATGTGTGTACATTGATATGAAATACTAAATCAGTGAAAACAATATAATAATTACTTAAGAAAGTAGGCAATCACATGCAGTCTTTTCCCTTGGATTCCAGATGACTTCCTCTTTTCTGGGTCATATGCTTCCTTTATTAGATGCCTTGCCAAGCTTGGATTGTTGCCGGTGGTGATACCAACCCAAACACCCCATAGGCTATTAAATAAATGACAGAAATACTTCATAAATCACTCACCTATTTATAGGGATCTTGTGAACAAAGAGCAGTTGTCGATGTCCGCTGGACGTTGTTATAACCAGGACCTTTGAAAACGGAACTGCGCCATATTGGCTGACTGAGGATGAGTGCGACTGCCAAGAGCTGGTCGTCTTTGTAAGTAGTGTTATATTATATATAATTTACAGTTGTTTAAATGGCGTTATGTGTTCGGCAGGAATGACTCAGACTGAAACTGTTATCAGGGTAGCTAGGCATGCCTTTCACAAGTCCGTTATAACTGATCCCTATTGTAGGTACAGATTCACGCTGGGATGACTCTCAAATGGATACCGCGGAGTATAATGGCGCCAGAATCAGGCTATCAAAGGTGAATCAGCACATGTCATGTAAGTGTTGAATAACGTTTAATTTGTGTAGTATACCCGCTGACGTATCCTTTGAGCTCTCCTGTCTTTTCCTGTCGTCAAGTAATTGTACTATGTTAACGTTCTCTCCAAAAAAACATATGTATTATAAAGTGGAAACGTCACATGCATGTTAAAAAAATGCGTACATCTTTACGCCGTAGTTACCATTTCGAAAACCATTAGTATGTGCATTATTCCGCCAGTTGTGTTCAAGATGAAATAACATTGATACATATGAAATCAAAAGCGATGCTCAGTATATATATAATTCTATATGCACACACAAAGCTCGTTAGGCACACAGACAGATTATTTATTAAAGTCTGACCCCTGTTATACATATATACAAACTAATTAACCATATATTTACAAACGGAATTATGAGAGCCTAAAATTCTTTAAAAATTGCATGTACATGTATTATGAATAACAATAATTAAAAGTTATATAATACGGATTTACTCCTTTTTAAAATAACATGGCAGGTTTGGGCAGCTATAAAACAGATATTGCTATTGGACAGGATAAAAGCAGTTTTTTGGTATATCAGTAAGATTACTAAAATTCGGACACAGGCAGACACACAAGTATTTAAAAGACTAAAACGTTCATCACTTTAAACCGGACAATTAATTAAAACATGAACTTCGTCTTCAACACAGTGTTTACAATAAAAACATTTTCTTTCGTTAAGTGGAATATTGTTATATCTACCCAGCTCAATATTAATTGGTGCAGTGCCGCATCTGAACTTAGCATGTGCACTTCTGTATGAGCGGGGCATGGGATGAGATTCGTGAAATTCCGGCATATAAACATCCTTAAAAGTACCATAAAAGCGTAGCTTATTTGCCCCCAGTTTAGATGGACCACAGTTATTCCCTACCGATTCCTTCCACTCCTGTCTATTAGTATCAAAAAATTTCTGTATAACGCTTTGTACAATAATTTTGGAGTTAAAACTATTAGTGGGGGAAATAAAGTGCTCAAGATCAACACTGCCTAACTTTTTATGAATTTTAAAATTAAGGTTTCTTTTTCTTCTAAAAGCCCAGTGGTTACCCCAAAGAAAGATTTTGCTCGTTCGTCGATATTGATCCAGGTTACAAAGACGTTTATAAAATCTGACAACACTGCCCCACTGGCGCACGATAGGGGGAGTCCAACCCATGTCACTGCTCACAGCTGCGTTGGGTGCAAACTTTTTCAAACCCAAATAGAATCGCATTGCACGGTTTTGCACAGCGTTCACACATGACATGTTTTGTGTTCCCCATATACATGCGCCATTCTCTAAAACAGACCACACCATGGAATCATAAAGTTTGGTAAAAATTCGGTACTCCATACCACCAATGAGCTTAAACTTGGAGATTAACAAACCTAGGGCTCTGCTGGCTGAACTTGCCGCGGCCTTTGCCATTCTAGAACAATCTAGATGTTCATTAAGTAACAGGTCCAAATAACAATAAGAATCAACAACTTCAAGATTTAGATTTCCACAAGTAAATGTACAGCTGGTTCTGTCAACGGACTGATTCCTAAAATGTATAACTTTCATTGACAGACATTTTGTTCGTATCACACCATGTGTTAATATTAAGATAAAATATTAAGATCTGTTTCACTCTCCGCTAATAAAATAAGATCATCAGCATATGCTAAAACACCTACCTTTAAACCATCAACATTCACACCTATATTCATATTATCTAAAACGTGGTGGCGCTTTTGAGGTCGCCTTCGCCGGTTGGCATGTCGGCAAATATCTAAAACTAACAACAGATCATTAATATACATATTGAATAACAATGGTGAAAGTAAACATCCTTGTTTAAGACCGCAATTAACATCAAACCATGGGGTATTAAAACCATTCAAACGGATACAACATTTGACGTTATCATAGATTGACATAATTGCATGAAAAATCCTACCCCTAACATTTTTTCCCCATAAAATATTCCGATCAATACAATCATATGCTTTTCTAAAATCTATAAAAGCAGCAAACGTGGATTTGTTCATACTTTTTCTTGTTTCTATAATAGATGTAACACTATATACATGATCTATGGTAGATCTGCCCTTTCTAAACCCGTTTTGATTATCATGTAAAAGGCCATTGCTTTCCATGTATTCACTCAGTCTGTTGTTCAGTACCCCACAGTAAAGCTTATAACTGGCACTGGCTAACGTTATACCCCTGTATGCGAGCGGGTCCCTGGGGTCATCCGTGGAGGTCTTTGGGATTGGCGGAATAACGCCTTTACCCCACATGGAAGGGACAACACCCTTGATAAAGCATACATTAAAAAAGAAATAACAAACAATTAGAGTTTTTCAGCACTTCGACTGGAATAGCATCGATACCCGGCGATTTACCTCCCTTTGCTGTCAATAAAGCCCGCTGCACCTCCCCCAACGATATAGGTATATTGAGCTCTCTGTTACTGTTACTGTTTGCGTCATGTGGCACACGTGTACAATCAGAACTAAAATTAGTGTTGAGTAGATTCGCATACGCATCTCTCCACGTCCCTAAAACAGTGTCTATATTGGAAATTCCATGGGGATAGTCTTTTTCCTCTCAAACCCACGCCCACTTTACTTATCTTCCTCCAAAACTTTGAAGTATCCCTTTCACACAAACTCTCTAACTCACGGAAGTCACGCTTCGCTTTCTGGACTTTTTTATCAAACGGATCCCGTTTTAGAACATACTCATATTTTAGATTCTCTCTACCTGCCCCCTTACACTCACACCATCGCCTTTCTGCAACACACATGTCGTTCCATAAAAGTGCCAGTTGTGGAGTCCAACATTCCTAAGCACGGCGACGCTTTTTGTTTCTAGCATGGGAATCAAGTAGTATGTTTTTTGTCGGCAGTATACTGTGCATTTCATTTTTCACACTATCCACAAACGAGTTAAAAGCAATGTCTACATCAGCCTGTACAAATTGGGATGACTCTAATTTATTAACAATGTCCACAAGTGACCGATAACTGTCATCAGATTGCATAAAGCTATCAGGTATATTAGACGTATCACATTTAACCCTAGTCTGCTGCTGACGAGTACATGGTGTAGGGCCACAGAGCGGCATATCTAAATGTATAGACCATGTTAACATTGAGTGGTCTATCTTTAACACCGTCTGTGGGTTTACCAGCCCAACACACCCGGCCCTAGTGGCTACACCATTTGGCCTAACAACACACATATTCTCAATCCTATATAACATGTCATAGGGACAAAGACAGTAATCAACCACAGATGTACCCCTAGTGGATATGTACGTAAAATCATTACAAACATTTTGTCTTCCATTTACCATACATAAATTAGCTGATATTAGGAAGTCTGCTAAAAGTCTACCATAGGTGTTGATTGTTGAATCAACTATTGCACGCTCGGGTAGGCAATCGACACCTTCTACATAGTCCAACAGGTTACCACATCTACTGTTTTGTCAAAACAGTATTGTCCAATCAGATTGCACACTGTTTAAACTTGTAACAGTCGATTATCATGATTATTGTTGTCCAGTGTGATTTGTAACTTGTTTTGTTTGTTATTGGATTCCGCAACCTCATTTTATTACATTTTAAAGCTGGACATTTTTTACTTTACTCTGGTTTACTATCATTGTTATTATTCTCTGTAAACATCTTACAGGGACATACCAAATTAAAGAAACCGGCCTTTTATTCAAATTATTAAATTTAGTTTGAGAGTATATATAGTCAGAAAAAAGAATGTGAAAGAGGAGTTTCGAAATTTTAGATTACATAATCCAGGTTTCTTACTTGTTCGTGTGATACATATGTGTTACCATGGAAACGTTTGGAATATCAATGTAACAAATCTTTGTCATTTTTAGTCTAACTGTGGTTCCTGATTTCTGTTATTTTCTTATTTGCAGACTGGAAACTACTGCTCATACTACTGTGGCTGCTTTCAACGTGGTCAGGTGCGCTGTTTACTGTAGTTATATATTGTACTTATAGTACGTGTGCCCCATTCTCAAAAAGCTGTATCCGCCCCTGTTTCGAATCTCTGTATGCACCCCCATACTAGTAAACCCGCCACTCACTCAGCCTCAGCCCGCCCATATTCAAAAACACGTCCTTGTCCACGATCAGACAACTCGAAAGAAGCGGACATAATATGTTAATATACACGTTCATTTATCCATTCGTAAGAAAAATTCGTGGAGTGATTTGGGGTTCAACTTTGCATACAGTTATATTTCACCCGTGTAGCGACGTGTTTGCACGTGTGTGGGTGGCTGCTTCTACTATTCTTGACTTATGTCGGTGTTAGGGGTTGGAGGTCACCGAGATACAATGAACAGACACAATCCATCACCACATGAAAGTGGCCTCCAGGCATATTGTCGATCCTCTACACCTCGGAGGTGTTCTCCAGGCATACTGTCGATCCTCTACACCACGGAGGTGTTCTCTAGGCATACTGTCGATCCTCTACACCACGGAGGTGTTCTCCAGGCATACTGTCGATCCTCTACACCACGGAGGTGTTCTCCAGGCATACTGTCGATCCTCTATACCACGGAGTCGCTCTCCAGGCCTGTTGTCGATCCTTTACACCACGGTGGTGGCCTCCAGGCATACTGTCGATCCTCTACAGCATGGATGGGGTCTCCAGGCATACTGTCGATCCTCTACACCACGGAGGTGGTATCAAGGAATACTGTCGATCCTCTACATCACGGAGTTGGTCTCCAGGCATACTGCCGATCATCTACACCACGGAGGTGGTCTCCAGGCATACTGTTGATCCTCTACAGCATGGATGGGGTCTCCAGACATACTGTCGATCCTCTATACCACGGACGGGGTCTCCAGACATACTGTCGATCCTCTACACCTTGGAGGTTGTCTCCAGGCATACTGTCGATCCTCAACACCACGGAGGTGGTCTCCAAGCATACTGTTTCGAATCTCTGTATGCACCCCCATACTAGTAAACCCGCCACTCACTCAGCCTCAGCCCGCCCATATTCAAAAACACGTCCTTGTCCACGATCAGACAACTCGAAAGAAGCGGACATAATATGTTAATATACACGTTCATTTATCCATTCGTAAGAAAAATTCGTGGAGTGATTTGGGGTTCAACTTTGCATACAGTTATATTTCACCCGTGTAGCGACGTGTTTGCACGTGTGTGGGTGGCTGCTTCTACTATTCTTGACTTATGTCGGTGTTAGGGGTTGGAGGTCACCGAGATACAATGAACAGACACAATCCATCACCACATGAAAGTGGCCTCCAGGCATATTGTCGATCCTCTACACCTCGGAGGTGTTCTCCAGGCATACTGTCGATCCTCTACACCACGGAGGTGTTCTCCAGGCATACTGTCGATCCTCTACACCACGGAGGTGTTCTCCAGGCATACTGTCGATCCTCTACACCACGGAGGTGTTCTCCAGGCATACTGTCGATCCTCTATACCACGGAGTCGCTCTCCAGGCCTGTTGTCGATCCTTTACACCACGGTGGTGGCCTCCAGGCATACTGTCGATCCTCTACAGCATGGATGGGGTCTCCAGGCATACTGTCGATCCTCTACACCACGGAGGTGGTATCAAGGAATACTGTCGATCCTCTACATCACGGAGTTGGTCTCCAGGCATACTGTCGATCATCTACACCACGGAGGTGGTCTCCAGGCATACTGTTGATCCTCTACAGCATGGATGGGGTCTCCAGACATACTGTCGATCCTCTATACCACGGACGGGGTCTCCAGACATACTGTCGATCCTCTACACCTTGGAGGTTGTCTCCAGGCATACTGTCGATCCTCAACACCACGGAGGTGGTCTCCAAGCATACTGTCGATCCTCAACACCACGGAGGTGGTCTCCAGGCATACTGTTGATCCTCTACAGCATGGATGGGGTCTCCAGGCATACTGTCGATCCTCAACACCACGGAGGTGGTCTCCAGGCATACTGTCGATCCTCTACACCATGGAGGTGGTCTCCAGGCATACTGTCCATCCTCTACAGCATGGATGGGGTCTCCAGGCATACTGTCGATCCTCAACACCACGGAGGTGGTCTCCAGGCATACTGTCGATCCTCTACACCATGGAGGTGGTCTCCAGGCATACTGTCCATCCTCTACAGCACGGAAATGGTCTCCGTGTAGACTCAGTCTATCCACCTCAGCAGGAACAGACGACACGTAACACTATATCCACTAATTCAGGTAAAGGATAACCTCAGTCCAGAATACAAAGGAATGGGCAAACAACCTATCCAGTACATCGCGGAGTTGGTCAAGAAAGACTACCTCTCCATTAGATTACTTAGGAGAGGTTCTGTTGCAACTGTTCTATCCAAACCAGATGTCAGTAGATTGGCAAACGTTTTTAAAGCCAATGCACAAACGTCGGAAGCAGGAAAGACTATCCACTGTGGTATATGTCGGAATACCATAGGATCGTTCTCGGGACGCTCTATCCATTATCCAAAGGAGTCGATATTCGGATAGGCCATTCATTCAAAATGGAGTCAGATAGTTGCTCTATGACTTAGACACTAGAGTCGCTCAATATTCATGGTAAAGTTTTTATTGATTTTTTAGTGAATGGAAACTATTGTCTTCTAAATGGTAGAACCCGTGAAGGTCCGGGTTGGAATTGATCTTCAGTAACCCATGCTTGTTGTAAGAGGCGACTAACAGGATCAGGTGGTCGTGCTCACTGACTTGGTTGACACATGTCATCGGTTCCCAGTTGCGCAGATCGATGTTCATGCTGTTGATCACTGGATTGTCTGCTCCAGACTCGATTATTTACAGACCGCCGCCACACAGCTGGAATATTTACTCGCTCCAATGTCTTGGCACAGTCTGCCCAGTGTGTGGGCACAGTTGATGCACAGGAAGTTCTTAAGTTGGACCACTCACTGTTGGAATGGAAAGTGAGTCTGTAGTTGGAACCCAAGGAATCGTTAAACCCGACAACACAACCCTTACTCAAGGAATAACATCTATCTCTGTTGATTTCCTTACATCGGACATGGAAACCGATGCAAGGACACTGATAACAAGTATGATGAGTGTGTTTTTCACGGTGAGATGGAGGAGAAACTTGTGAAAAGAACCGTTTTACTTGATTCAGAAGACAACAAAAATAGACCATTTGAAAAGCTTTGGTGGAATGAAGAACTAACTAAACTTGGGAACAGTATGTGCTCTGCTGAAAAACTGTGGTGTATAAATAAGCATGAGCATAAGTACATATACAGGGAAGATTTTAAACGACATAGGAAAATATTTGACAAAGCAGCCAAAAAAGCCAAGAGGTCCTATGTTTTAAAAGTACAAAATGAGCTTGAAGAAATATGTGATAAAAATAGTGGTGAATTCTAGAAAAGAATCGGGAACGACAGAGTAAAAAATATCCCATGGAAATTTTCACCGAAGATTGGAGCATATGCAGAAATGAAGTAGTCGTCACGGAAACCTGGAAGACAGCCTACTCTGACCTTCTCAACAGCGGTGTTCGGGACAACCCTGAGGGATGTGAATACTCGGGTAGTGTGACGGGCGATGTACAAGATTACGTCACATTGAACAATGACGTCACTCTCGCGGAACTGACATCAGTGATCGCGCGAGCCAAATTCGGGAAAGCACACGGAAATGACAACATTCCCGGTAGAATTACTCAACAGAAAGAACGTCATACCAATACTCCTTAGATTGTTCAACGTGTGTTTTAGCACAGGAATCGTGACTGACAAATGGGGACAAGGAATTATAAACCCCATTCCCAAGTCATCAACGATCGACCCTCGACACCCTATGTTGTATAGGGGCATTACTCGTCTCCCGTCAATATATAAACTTTATTGTGGTGTCCTAAACGGCCGATTGAATGCTTGGGCGGAGGGTACAGGGATACTCCATGACCATGATTCCGACAAGGACGTTCAACTATTGACTATGTATAAACGCTAACGTCAACAGTCACGTATGTGGTTTCAATGATGGTGGCACGCATGAAATCGCTCTCGGATTAAATGCTGAAACATGGAGAGCGAGAATTGGAACATTCTCTCCCCAAGTGAGACGGGGCACCCTGTTAAACCGCGTTATAAGGACGCCGGGTGGTATACGTCTCTGCCTGAGACTCGCTATTTTGTCTTTTACGTTGCTGGCGATAGCGGGAGATGTTGAAACTCTACTCAGATCCAAACACGGCTCTCGACGAAAGGTATACCAGGAGAGGTGGTAACTGATGATGCACTAACACTCTGCGACCTCGCTAAAACGCTGTCGGCTATCCAGGCGCAACTTACCTCCCTTGACCGGAAGCTGGAGTTGTTTACAATTGACTGCAATAACAAACTGTCGTCGCTCGAAGATGAGAACGCAAATCTCAAGACACAGATACAGGCTATGGACAGAAAGGTGGACAACATGGAGGCACAGTCAAGACGCAACAATTTATTAATACATGGACTAGACGACAAAAGAGGTGAAACTTGGGAAGAAACAAGTTTAAGTTCGACAATTTCTTCAAGATGAGCTTTCATATAAATCAGCTGATACCGTTGGAATAGAACGAGCCCACAGGCTTTACTCGAAGACTGGGAAGCGAACGGTGATTGTGAGATTCACTCTGTTCAAGAAGAGGAGTAAAATCCTCGAGACCGCTAAGAAGACCCTGAAAGGTAATACTCTTTTTAGGGTGTCGGAGGATTTCACGGAGAGGGTGAGGAATATACGCTCCAAACTGTTCCCGTTCATGAAAACTGCAAGAGAAGATGGCAGTATTGCATACATGAACCATGATAAACTTATAATAGATGGTGCAGTATATGTACACGAAGAAAACAAGAAGGACATTAAACAAATTGGACAGCGTAAATATTGGGAGAACCGAAACACGTCAGCTAACAACTCTACAGAATCTCCAAGATAGGAT